CTATTGCCTGCCCCCTACTGCTGCTTTCCCACTTCACTGGTGGGCGGCAGGTAGGGGATGAATTTTAAACAACCAGCTAATAACTAGGTAATTAACGTTGTTTAAAAGAAACATACTTGGAATTGAAGACAACCTTATTTACCCAAAACCAAGATGACTTTGAATTTAAGATGACTTCCCATTAATTAGATTCTATATATGTAGAACTATAACCAATTCATAAATTTTCCATGTAAGGAATCTAATTATAGAGGAGTTGTCTGAAATTCAGAGTCATCTTGGTTTCAGGTAAATACGGTTTCTGGCTTCAATTCTAAGTAGGGCCCTTTAAAGCAATGCTATTTTTTTTGCCTTTTCTTTGTATGTGCTCTTATTTCATTATCTGAACATGTGATATTCATGTATTGATACACAACAATGAAATACTGAAAATTGACTACCACTTGGAATAGGGTTTGTTTTGTTTTAATGTGTTCAGCCCCTGAAAGAAAGAAGTGTTCTCAGCTCCTGATATGATTGGGCCCTTAATTTCAAAGGAGAGGGGACTTGACTTTTAGTATCTTGTTTTTCTAATTTGTATTTCTAGTAGATGATTACTTTTAAGGAGGAATTTGGAAAGTCCTTGTTTATGCAGACTGTGTATGACTATAAAGAAAGTTGTAAAGCTGTTGCAATCAATATATGATTAAAGTGTTTTTTGTGGTGATTGATATAAAGGGAAACTGTCTGTTACAGGTAAAGTAGTATGAGTTTCTGATTTATTTAGTTATTTTTGTATCTCTATCATACCACTGCCTTATGGATAAATTCATTGTCTGAGAAATGCAACCTTAATTTCACATATCATTCAAAATAGCTCTAACATTTTTGCAAAGCATTATGTATTAAGAGGACTGATGTGCTAGCAATTTCAACTTCAATTTGAAGATGCTTGTGTAGTATAAACGTGGAATGTAAGTGTTCCTTAAAAATAAAAAGAATATGATTCAACAAGAGAGGCACACAGCCAGCTGACATCTTCCTCTGCCTAATAGAAACTTCTGAAATGTCTTCATCTCAATTTCCACAAAATACAAGTCTGTTTCCACAAGTATAAAGCTAGTTCCTTTACTAAACCCTTTATTAGAGGTACTCTATGCATCTGAGAAAGAGTGGGTACAAGCCATCCTGGGTTGCACTGACAGATTTTCTTGGCTGATACTGATAGCCAATGATTAACCAACCATATTGGCCGATGCTGATCCAATAACTGATATTTAGTAATAGTGCAAGGCATTTTAAACTACTGACATAAATAAAACTTGTTTGTTTGTTTTGCATTCATAACGTGTGCACGCACACACCTCCGGCTTGTTCTGGCTCTCAAGGAAGGTGGTAACCACATTATTTTCATACACATTGCCCTCTCACCCACAGCTCCTATCTGCAGCCCTGTTTCACGTGCAGCCTGTGCTGCCATCCCAAATGGGCAGGGAGGACCCTTGCATGGACAGTAGTGCTAGGTGCATTTGAAGCCCCAGAGCACACCACTGCCTCAGCCCTGGCATGCCCTGTGCAGCTGAGCTCCCGTAGCCACTGGAGAGAAGCTGCTTTTGCAAAGGTGCCCGATGCCTGGTGGAGCAGTGTCCCCCACGTGGCGCGTTATCGCTCCTGTGCACAGCCCAACTTCTCTGCAGCAGCCCTGGTGCTCAGGCCCTTGCTGTGTGCATGGTGTTGCCATGGCAGTGGCAGCAGCAGCATGAGCCAATAAGTCTTTGTTGCTGAGTGCAGCACCCTGTGACCCCTCCCCAGCGCCCCCTTCCCCTCCTGCCATTCACCGGGGCCTGTAGTCTGCCACAGGCTTGGGCCAGCAGTGACTACGCTCACTCGGGTGCTCTGGGCACATGGCTGTAATTATTGGCTACAATGACCAAAAAAGCCAATAGCTAATAATGTAATTTCTCCTTTTATCGGTGCTAATCCAATAACCAACCAATATATCGGTGCACCCCTAGTTTTATAAGTAAAAAACACTGCTTTTTAACTCCATCTGAAAACCAGCAGGTAGCCAGTGGCAGTCTTGATGCACTGATAGCATTCGTACCTTGCAAATTGTGAACACATCACTATCATCTTTCAAGTTGTGCTCCAAAGGCTGTGGCCCTTTGTACAGTGGACTGAAGTCTAATCTTGACTGATCTCTGTATCCTTGGTAATGGAACACAGCTTTCTGGACAGATGGATAAAAAAATCCTGGTCATTGCCCCTATATGATTGTTTATAGTCTTCAACAATCTCTACTGATGAAAGGCATGGTATTTTTCTGGTAACTTTTACTAGAAAGAAAGAGTGCAGTATTCATATTTATTTAAATATTGTTTGATTCCAAAAGATAATTTAAAATCTTGGATGCTCAGCTATACAATGCCTTCTACTTTTATGAATCAAAACTGTCTCCAAACAGAATTGCAGGCCAGTCCTCTTTTTTATATCAAAAAACCCAAAGAAGCTAACTTAGGCTTTGTTACAATAATTAATAAATTTTTTTTGCCCAATTTAAGATTTTGTAGTTGCCAGTTTTTTAAAGAATAAATTATTGATCTGTTTTTGTTGTGCTTTAAGCACTTTACTGCAAAGTATTTAGTGGTGCTTACAAATTTATTTTTGTATCCAGTTTTTGGGTGTTTTGGGTTTTTTAAAGATTTGTTTTGCACCATGCTATAGTTTCACCTTGCTTGCTTCGTTATAGTCATTTCTTTTTTGCATCAGAGTTTCACTGGATGGAGCTTATTTATGTTCATAATGACACTAGTAATATTGTCCTTGAGCGCATCAGACTGCAGAAAGACCTGGATAGGTTGCAAGGGTGGGCTGACAAAAACAGGATGCATTTCAATACGGACAAGTGCAGGGTGCTGCACTTGGGCAGTGGTAACCGGCAACACACTTATAAGATGGGGAAACTCCCTTCTTGAGAGCACAGAGGCAGAAAGGGATCTTGGAGTCATCATTGACTCCAAGATGAACATGGGCCGACAATGCGAGGTCACGGTCGGCAGGGCTAACCGGACCCTATCATGCATCCACAGGTGCATCACTAGTAGGGTCAAGGAGGTGATCCTCCCCCTCTACGTGACACTGGTCAGGCCACAGCTGGAATACTGTGTCCAGTTCTGGGCGCCCCACTTCAAGAGGGATGTGGACAACATTGAGAGGGTCCAGAGGAGGGCCACCCACATGATCCGGGGACAGCAGGGCAGACTCTACAATGAGAGGCTATGGGACCTGAACCTGTTCAGCCTTCGCAAGAGAAGGCTGAGGGGGGACCTTGTGACCATCTATAAACTCACTAGGGGGGACCAGAAGGGTTTGGGGGAGACCTTGTTTCCCCCAGCGCCCCCCGGGATAACAAGGAATAACGGCCACAAGTTGTTAGAGAGTAGGTTCAGATTAGACATCCATAGGAACTACTTCACACGTGGCTGGGGTCACTTGAGCCCAGTTTCTCTCCTGCCCAGGCAGGGGGTCAGACTTGAAGATCTACAAGGTCCCTTCCAACCCTACTTCTATGATTCTATGATATTCATTGGTAAGACATAGCAACAGAAATGAGTAATTATGAAACTTTCATTTTCCTACATAAGTTAGACATCCTAAATATGTTAGACATTTATTAGTGGTGAAGAAAAAAGTATTTGGTAAGCTATCTCACAGCAACTTTAAATTGCAAGAGGGAAGATTTGTGTGGGCATGTACTGCTTCACCTGCATCCTGTAACTATAAGTTGTATATGTTACGATACTAGAATCCATCTAAACATTATACAGTTTAGTATATTGGGGGTGGTTCTGCTTTGATCAAGGAGTTGGACTAGATGACCTCCTGAGGTCCCTTCCAACCCTTATTTTCTATGATATTACATATTTTAGTTTAACATTAGATGTTTTGGGCTGAACATAAAAAGTTGAGAGTGAATTGCATCTTCTTGACTATGACTTCATAAATGAACATTTCAAATTAGTGTTCTGTCTTAAATCCTGCTGACTGCTTATTTAATGGGTTTTGTGATTCTATTTTAATGACTAAAAGGTACCCTCCAGACAAGTGCCAGATTGAAAGATCCTGCCTCCATTCTGCCTGTATCCATGTTGATATCTGATATATAAATTATTCTTCTTATACAAAATCCATTCTATTCACTTCCCCCCTGCTGTCCAGAACAGCTACACACTTACCATGAAAGTGCTTACAAGAGAGAGGTTTCTGAAAGAAATGGTTTCTTAAAGCTTCTCTTACACACTGACATTGCAAGCTGGCACTATTTTAAGGCTTCTGAGTTATTGAGCACCATTCACTTTTATTATAATAAAAATGAGCGTAAAAGATACTTGACACCTCTCAGATTTAATCATAGAGCACTGAGTGTCCTAAGAAGAAATGAAAGTGTGTGGGTAAGGAAAAGGTATTGCTAGTTTGAATGAAGGAAGGTAATGAGTTGATTACACTTTAATCCAAGTATAAAGACGGGGTTCACACAAGATACTGTGGCCTAGATTCTCTGACTCTTAGTCCATGAATGCACCAACCAGGGCTCAGCGACCACCTGCAGACGCTGCCAGCGGCGGCCAGGGGCAGTTGCTGACCGCACACAGGCGCTGTGGGTGGTGTCAGCAGCAGGTAAGGGGGTGAGCAGCGACTGCCCACAGCGTCAGCGGCGCATTTTTGTAGGGGTGCACTGCCACACTCCGGGTGTGCACGTGCACTGTGTATGCGTCACCAATGCAGATACACAGCGTTAATGTACCTTAGTGCATCTACACATATGTTAAGGTGCTTTAGGTATATGTGCCTAAATTTGATACCTGCTTTTGCAGGTATGAAATTTAGGCACAAATAGCCTAAAATCGCCCTTTTTAAGACGCATTCAGGGCACACGCCTGTAGACCCTCACCCTTAATGTGCCTTAAAAATGGCTAATAAGCTGTAAATTGGCATGTGTAGATGCTATGACTGCTGACAATCATGCTTACTAAGGTTGCCTCCTTGTTCCTCATGGCAGCCCACTGTTACCAGGAAAAATAAATAAAGAGGAGACTTTGGAAAATGTGATCTAGATGTGGCCAAAATGAGGTCTCTTATGGTCTGAAAATGGAGCATTTGGTACACCAGAGGCAAGATACTGGATTGGAAAAGGGGAAAAAGAAAGATATTGGTGATATGCTTTGCTCGTATCCCAGATAAAGAGTTAATTGTGTCTGAGCCTATTACATCTGGGTTAATTATAAGTGTCTGCTGCTCTCCTGTTCTCAGAAAAGAGGCAAAAAGTGAGAAACCTAATGTTGTAACCTGCACCTATGTTTAATTAACTAGAGGTTTGTGAGGAGAGCAGTCAGAGCTGTATAGTTTATTCCATGTTTTATTAAATCTAATATGGTTTATTTGTTGTTTTTTCTTACAGACAGTTCATTTGGCTTTGTCAAATGGGAAACAATTTCATTAACATCAAGCCTTTTCCTCCCTTCTTTCCCCCTTGAATTTTAGGGCCCTCTCATTGGAAGGAGGTTTTCCCTGTTGCTAATGGAGACCGTCAGTCCCCCATTGACATCAAAACCACAGAAGCCAAATATGACCCCTCTTTACGCCCTATTAGTCCCAACTATGATCCAACTTCTGCTAAAGTCATTCTCAACAATGGACATTCCACTAGTGTGGAATTTGATGATGCAGAAAACAAATCAGGTTTGTTCTGTTTATAACAGTGTATTTTCTTTCCTGAACAGAGTACAACCTGTCTCTTTGGAGACTACATGAGTATACGAACAGTAACACTTCAGTTATCCAAAAAAGAGGTGTTTTCCTGTCTTTCAACATGTTGCAATCTTGAGATTATTTCTGCAGAAATTATAAATTGTTATTGTAAGGATTTCTAGGCTGCTCACATTGTCTTAATTCTCTTCCTATGTGGTATGGTCTGATCCGCAGGACACGGCTAAACAATATCTGTACTCCTGTTTCACCAATGTTTTAATATAGATTTCAAATGCTGTTCTTTCATTTCGTAGACGGAACCTTTGTCTCTCATTTCAGGTCCATTTGAATTGAATTACTCAAATCTCTTACCTACATTTAGTTGCAGGTTGATTGATTTATGTTCCAACTCTAGATTTGTTATATCAAAGGAGACACCAAAAGAAACCATATGCTTAGTGATTCCATTTATTTTTGAGAGAGGTATTTATCTCATTCTTTTTATTTTTCTTCATGGACACCCCTTTTGCAAACAATTATGTGCACTCGGAAAACTGGTCTTTGTAATATTGCAACATTTATTTTGGGCTTTCTAAATACTTCAAAGGCGAGGTGCAAACAAAATGCTTTCTGTTAAATGGTAAAAGTGCAAGTCCTTCATGAATAAGAAAAACCTCTTCTGGTTAATCTGCTAATGTCACCTGGAGAAGGTTGCTGAAAGAAATCTTTGTTTATCTTAATAAAAGCGAGTGAGAAAAACAACTCAAAGAAATGGGAACTCTTCTGATATCCAGTTTGCTATTTGATACATGTGAAATTTACATGTCTTTGCACATAAAGTTGTTTCATTGGGAGGAACAGTAAGATCAAGGATATTTTGTGTATTGTAAAATTTAGAATACTCTGTAAATTATAGACAAACTGAGTCTTGTACAGAGCAAGTAAAGCTTGCTCCTCTTCAGTCCTGCCTTCCTACTTAAAAGAGGAAAAAGGAGTGCTTTAAGGCAACTGTTTAATTTTCCTTTGCTTACTTTACCTTCCAGATTATTGAATGCTTTATTTTATGCTCCTGTAACACTTTTCTGTTCTATACTTTTGCTCTTCTTGTCAATATACTGATGGAAAGAAAGGATTATAAATTCAGCATATCTAACCAGCTGGGAATATTCTTGTTGCAGGCAGTCTCTACATGCTGCAAAACTGGCATAGCCAGCTCTTTTACATGTCCTCTGGATATCATCGTAAGAGGATGTGTCTGAAGTGCCACAGAGCACGAGTGAGCCCCACCTGGCATACCAGTCCTGTATCCAGTTGATATTATTTAGATCAGTCTGAGGTGATTTCAAAGTAGGCCAGAAACTGGACTGGCCTACAACAAGGTTTAGGCTATGGAAGCTGCAAACGTGTCCCCTCCCTTTACATCTCCTTTTCCTGGCTAAATCCAGCATGTAGTGGGCCTTATGGAGGATCAAGGCCCATACTCCTAAATTCATGGACATCAGTCCCTTTTGGCCTTGACATTCTTCCTGCATAACAGAGGATATAGGACTTCTCTGAACTAATTTCCGCTTCAAATGTAATAGCTGTGCTTGAACTAGAGTGTATCTTTTAGATAAACATCCAATCTTGATTTTTAAAATTTCCAGCGATGGAGAGTCCACCACAACCCTTGGTAAGTTGTTCTAATTGTTAATTACCCTCACTGTTTACAAAATCACCCTTTTTTTCAAGCCTGACATTATGTAACTTTGGCTTCTAATCATAAGATCTCATTATACCTTTGTCTGCATGAGAGAAGAGCCTGTTAATCGAAGTATCCCATGATCATGCTCGCGGTTCAAGTCATTCCATAATCTCTTTTTTTGGTTAACCTGAGAAGACTGAAATTCTTTAGTCTCTCATTCTAAAGCATGTTTTTCCTGATCTTTATTTATTCTCTGAGGCTCTTCTCTGAACCTTCTCCAATTTATCACCATTCTTGAAGTGTGTACATGAGAACTAGATGCAGTACTCCAGTAGCACACGCTCCAGTGCCAAACGTAGAGGTAACATAACTTACCTACTTCTCCTAAACCCCTGTTTGTATCCCCACATTTATACATTTAAGGATTCCATTACCCTTTGTCACAGCTTAGCACTGGCAATTCATGATCAGCTGATTATGTATCATAACCCAAAAGTCTTTTTCAGAATCATTTCTTCCCAGGATAGAGTGCCCCGTCTTGCAAGTGTGGCCTTCATTCTTCAGTTATAGATATACCACCTTATATTGGGCCATATTTAAACTAATATTGTTTACTAGTGCCCAGTTTACTAAGTGATCCAAATTGCCCTGCATCAGTGACTGTCCTCTTCATTATTTATCATTCTTCCCCTCCCCCACCCTCCTGCCCCCAGGTTTTGTGTCACCTGCAAACTGTCAGTAATGATTTTATGTTTTTTTCCAGGTCATTGATTAAAATATTAAATAGCATACAGCCAAGAATTGGTCTCTGGGACAGCCCCATGAAACCCACCTGCTGGATGAGGATTTACAATTCTATTTTGAGATTTATCAGACAATTTATTCTGCTTGTGCATAAAATGGAATCAAATTATTACTTACACTTACCATATTTTCTCACATACTACCTGCCCTCCAAACAAAATAAGATGCACATCTTGTTTCCGGAAGGCAGAATGTATTAAAAAAAGATTTTCCCAGAATCACGGCTGACTGTGACGGAGTAAGTCCTCCTGGAAACAGTGTCCAGGAAGTGTAGCATCCCAGGAAACACTCTGGGTGAGGCAGCAGAAATTTCCTGGTGTGGCAGAACTGCAAAAGGCTAGGCCCCATACCCTTGCAAGAGCAATAGCAAGGCTATTATTATTACTTTACTGTAAATCGTTCTCTGTATAAGTTCCTATAAATAAATAGTGTTTTTTCTACACCAGAAGCCTTGCTAAAAACTACAAACTGCATGCAGCAGCTCACTTGCCCTAAACCAGCTTAATTGTTCCTTCAGGGACAAGCTTCAGTGCTGAACAAATAGTGCTGTGAGAAAGTTAACACAGGACTTCACCCCTGCTGTGTGCAAGGGCAGAGGCAAGTGGCAGCCATCAGAGCATTGTGTCTGCATGCTTCTATTACAGCAAAGAAAAATTACCTTCCTTGCTTAAGACATACACTCCAATTTTGGAGGGCTGATTTTTCGGGGCAGGGGGAAGATGGAACAGTATGCAAGTAAATATGGTAATCACTAAATTTTTGTTAGAATCGTATAAAAATTGGGCTGGAAGAGATGTCAGGAGGTCATCTAGCCCATACCTTCTCAGGAGCTCATCTAGTCCCCTTGTCTAAACCTTCCTAGACAAAGGTTTGTCTAACCTGCACTCAGAAACTTCCAATGATGGGGATTCTGCAACATCTCTAGGTAATCTGTTCCTGACCTTAACCACCCTCATCAAAAAAAAAACCAAAACAAAAAAACCTACTTCCTAACCTCTAACCTCAATCTCCCTTGTTGCAATTTAAGACCATTTCTACTTGTCCTGTTCCTGCAGACATGGAGACAGACATTTCTGCGATCAGTTCCTCATACTATCAAGATGAGGTCTTACACAGAATTGTCCTCTGTTGGATGCAACAATTTCTGAGTTAGAAAATTGCGATCTGTAAATATTTATACATTCAAAGTGTGTTTTAGCATTGGCAGCATAAGACCTCTATATGGAAGTCTGCCAAGACAATGTCATATTTTGTTTTGTTTTTCCCCTAAACATTATGGACAAGTGCCTGAGGAGCTGGTCATCCATGTTCTGTAGTGTCACTGATAGCCTGAATTGGGTACTAGCTACTACTCCATCTTTTGCTCTATCTACAAGAATAAACACTTAAGATCATTTGCTTCCAGGTTCTCAGTGACTTAGAAAAAAGTATTGCTGTTTATCTCCAAATGCCACTACCTCTCCCCTCCCCCTTTTTTTGCTTATTTGATCTTTGGTATTAATAAGTTGTGTCCAATATTTTTAACAGTCAGGTCTTCCTTCCAGAATAGTATGCCAGTTTTCCCACCAGCTTTCTGTAAGACCAAGTAAATCAAAGTGCTGATTAAACCACCCATTCTAATTCCTGTGGTTTATTACCCAGATCCTTCATAGGCAATGAAATAATTTCTTCACCTTGCATCCCTGGGTGGAATTTTGTCTCATGATCTTGGTTTTTGTGCCAAACAAAAGCTTATTTGTTCCCACTTCATATCCTCCATCTCTGTTTAGTCTAATGCCTACCTTTCTCCTCTAGTCAGTCTGTTCCTTACAAGTTTGGTTCTCTTCCTACATACCTCTATCATATCACATATCTCTAAATGGAGTCTAGTGAGAGACAGAACAATCTACATTCCCAAACTTGGGAAGGGTGGGTGGAGGTAGGGCACGAAAGGTAGGTTTGAAATCAAGACAAGTTGTAGAGTGCTCAGGCTGATAGAGAGAAGCACCAGGTGTGAACTCAGATCTGGATATGAGAGTCTAAGTCTAGGATTGGGTCCCTTTCTAGTTTAAAAAAAACAAACCACAAAATGAAAGACCCTTACATATTTTCATAATGCACTGCTCATTGACCATTTGAATATCACTATTTTTATACTTGGACAGAACAGCATCTTTATTAGTTTGATTTGATTTATACTTATTTTCACTTTGGGTTTCATAAAGTGCAGTTGCATTTGGGGTTCCAACTAATGCAGAAGAATGTTGACATGAATGTTAAACAAACAGATCATAGAAAAGTAGGGCTGGAAGAGACCTCAAGAGGTCACCTAGTCCAATCACCTGCTCAAGGTAGGATCATCCCCATCTAAGCCATCCTGTGGAACTGTTTGTCTAACCTATTCGTAAAACTGCATGAGCAACCCTCATTCACAACTACCAGAACATCAAGAACACTTTAACTTGCCACTTGAGTTAATTTGGTTTTGCCAAGCTGCCTAAGGAGGGAAGAATCCAAGCCCTTTCTTTGCTCCAGCACTAAAATAATGATAGTTTTCAAAACCTCTTTTTACCTCAAGAGGAGGGGCGTAGAATTTTTCCATATACTACAGAGTGGAGCTAGTCTTGTGATATCAACTCACTTCTTAGTGGGCAATAATCTATTAAGTAACATAAATAACTCAAGTTTGGAAGGAATATTCTGTTGATGAACAGAATGATATTCTGTTAATAAATTCTTTAAAAGAAAGAGAATTTAATCTATTTGAGATGCCTTTTGTGGGAAGAGGGAAACAGAGCAGTTTGGAGCATGAAGTGTGAGGTATGCATGAAAGTGTAGGTAAGAGGGCTTTATTATAAAGTACATTCCCTGAATTTAAAATGTCCTCTTATCTGGTTTATAGTGCTGATAGGGGGACCACTTGCAGGAACCTACAGGCTGCGACAAATTCACTTTCATTGGGGCTCCAGTGATGATGCTGGTTCTGAGCATGCAGTGGATGGAATGAAGTATGCAGCAGAGGTAAAGTATTCCAGTGACTTTTATAGTCTTTTGGTAGTTAAAGCTGTGCCTATTTTTTTTATTATAAGCCTGACTTTTTTTATTGTATTTTTTTTGTATTCCCCACCTTTTCTGCCCCCAGCCTTTATCAAAACAAGAACAATATTCTGGAAATGCTTTATATGTGATCCTTTTCCAAAATATACCTTTCTTTTTTTTTTTTTTGTTTTTTTTTGTTTTTTTTGAACTTTGGAGAGGGTAAGACAAGAAGCACATGAGGGATAGTAACTTGAAAATTCAGAGATATTTAATAATTCGAGAATGTTTTTGTTTTGTTTTTATCTTTTTTCTAAGAACATTGTCTCTCAAAATCAGTCCACCCTAGAAACTACAAATTTCATTTAACTGACCTTACCAGGGGCCTATGCGTTTTGCTATTTGTTGAAGAGCAAGGTGGTTATTTTTGTGGAACATTTATGCCTTTGTTTTCTGTGTGCTGCACTATTATACCTTTAAAGGACTATGCTGCCTAATGAGGCAGGTAGCCCTTTACTGTGTTCCATTCAGTGCAGGATGTCACAGAAGAGAAATGCAGTGTGCTCTCTCATGGAGGCTTTACTTTTGCTCTTTCTTATTTGTTGCTTTTGAGTAAACTACAATAAAACCATCCAGACTAAAAGTATCTATTTTCTCTGTGTGTGGGAAATATGGTGAAGAGAATGGGATCTAAAACAACAAATAGCTCAGAGACAGTGAAGAGGCCTTTCTGGGTAAACATGGATTTTTTTTTAAAGAAAAATAAGGTTTCGGTATAAAGCTAAAGAGAAACAAATTACAATGCAGAGGCTTGATCAGTATTTTATTGAATAGACAGTGCCCAGAAAAAAAGGTTGTTTTTTTTTCTAACACTAGTGGGGAAAAGTGACATTTGCAGTTTTTAAAGGCTTATGTTTTCCACAGGAACCAGGTGAGATGGAGTGTAAAGAATTAATAGTGGTGCTTAAAAACCATTATGCACCAAAACCAAATTTCTAGCTGAAACAAAAATGTATGTTCCATCTAAGAAACCAAATGGAAGGAGAAAATATCTCTGAATTTCTAGCCAGTCTAACCAAAAAACAAACAAACAAACACTTCCCACTACCTGTCCTTTTGGTAACCTTCTTCACGAAGCACTTTAGACATCGTTTTGGTTTTGGGATAAGGAACCCAGAATTGGGGAAAAACCCAGGATTAAGAGCAAGGCGGCTGAGCACTGTTCATACAGAAGAAAACACCCAGAAGGAGCTGTAAATGCAGTTTCAGTGCTCAATTGGATGAAGAATGTTGTCTGAAACAAGAAAGAACCTCTGCCAAACTGGCACATGCAAGAAGAAAGAGCTAGTTCACAAGCAAAGAAGACTACATGGTTCACCCCACACCAGATGACATCAGGAAAAGGAGGGATCATGGTCCCATTACTTTGAGACATCGCATGGTGAGACCAAGGTTTCTTCAACAAGCTGCGGTGCGCAAGAGGTGGTAAGACAGGATCTATTCCTTAAAAGAGAAGTCACAAGCCATTGAGAATGGGGCTCTACCCTAAAATGTTTCACAGATTTTATTTTTTTTTCCCCTTGGCAAAATTAAAGGGGGGGAGAGTGGTTAATTTAGCTGTGGGGTTTTTACTACTTGTGTTTTGTTGTTTTTATTAATCCACAATAAAAGTAATTCAGACTGAAAGTATCTGTTTCCTCTTTGTGTATGAAAAAATGTAATGTCTTCAAATTAAATTTATTATTTTAAAATTATATGTAAACCTAAAACTATGAATCGTCCAGTGTGAAAATTGTAAGTTCCAGTGCATGCTCTCAGAATGATCTAGGGGACTGACCATTGAGGTATGAACTCCTATATTTCATTTCTGGTCTAAAGAATGATTATCATTGACTTGTATAGCAGCTTTCTCCAAGGATCCCTAAGGTGATGATCCAGCAATTTACTTAAGCCTTTGCTTAGCTAAAGTTAAGTGCATGAGTCCCAGTAACTTCAATGGCACTCTGTACTTGCTTAATGGTAAGCACATGCTTATTTGCTTTGCTGGTTTGGGGTCTGTGTATTTAATAAATATTAATTATGTCTCATAATGCCAAGTATTATCAGAGTCATTTTACAGATAAGGACACCTGAGGCTTGTAGAGATTGAGCAAGTGCCAAATCAGAATGTGAACCAGGGTTTTGGACAAGATCTCCTGACTCCTAGTTCATTCATATAATCACTTGCCTCCCATGCCGATTATTCAGATACATCGCTAAGGTCTATATTTTCTAAGTGGCCTCCACTTTGGGAATCTTCAGTTTCTCTGAGTGCATCTGGGGCCTAACTCACAGAGGTGCTGAACATGCTCGACACTGAGTTAACTCACTTGGAGAGGTATATTTTCTGTATCTTTCGAAAATCAAAAATCTAAGCATCAGAAGGACCCCATTATGCTTTTTTTTTTTTTTTTTTTTTTAATTACTCAAGCTTCTATTTCCTTATCTGCAAACTATTGTTGATCAGGCTGACTGAGACATATTAATGTTTGAAAATAGTTTGAAACTACAATATCTTTCTGGGTACTTATGTATGTGCTCTTTACAACAAGGTAGGCAGAGAATAGCACTGGCTTGCACAAGGGAGAATTGATGTTGTGCTCTGTGAACTTGCTCCTTCCACAGAGATCCAAGGATTCCCACCTGGAGAATGTGGGCCTGACTTAGGACGGCTGCTTGTTGGGAGGGGCTAGTGTGATACTGGGGAAGAGATCAGTCATTTTTTACCTGACCAAATCGTGGCAATCTTAGAACTGCCAGAATGGATCTTTCAAGCGTGGACCAGCATACATGGAGCATCCACACAATGACACATCAAACAGCCAAGATGTCATTGAACTGCTTATTAAAATTTGAATGCAAAACATCCCAAGCAAAAAATCTATTGGCAATGCCAGCTCTATACATCTTTGAATATCATAGGTGCCTAGGTAAATTTAGGCATCAATTTTATGAAAATGTGGGCCTTGTATCTCCCAATATTATGAATAGAGAGTAAATACAGTATCATGGCAGTTTTTTTTCTTATGCTGTATTCATAGATACTGTTGTTTCTCTCTATTTTAAATGCTCTCTGTTTGAAATACAGTATCTCAGATACTGTAGTGTCATAACTATGGATTACTTTTTAAAATTTTATTTTAAAATGAACCACCATGAAGATGAAAGATACTAGAGAAAAACTGCTAATTTATGTCAATTCTGTATCAATTTTAATCCCAGCTACTCTCAGTGCTTGTTATTATTTGTATGAATTATATATTTACAGATTTCAATAAATATTTGCAGTTAGAAAATCCAAATGCGTCTGAGTATGAACAGGTGAAGTAGAATATTCAACACCCATGCAATATATATTAATTTGTAACTTTGTTCCAGTTAAGCAGAAATAACTGTGTTTGTGCTTTTTGCCTTTCAGTTGCATGTGGTTCATTGGAATGCAGACAGATATTCCAGCTTTGTTGAGGCTGCTCGTCAGCCAGATGGATTGGCTGTCATGGCTGTATTTTTAAAGGTAGGAAAAGATTGTTCTTGTCTCTCTTTTTTTTTTTAACAAACTAGTGTTATAAGCTTATAACAACATTGTTGTTATAACACATACTGTATTATCATAAATTATCCCAAAATATTAGCATACTCTTCAAAAGGCAAAAAGGTGCCAAATTTGGGAGATTTGTGGCCATATCATCTGAAAGGTGTAATAGCTGTATTCATAGACTTAAAGTCCAGAAGTTGTATCGGATCATCTGGTCTGAACTCCTGTAGAATCCAAACCATAGAATGTCATCCAATTGCTCTTGTACTAAGCCCAATAACTTGTTGTTGGTTAAAGTTTGTTTTCCAGAAAGATGCTAAGTCTTGATTGTGAAGGCTTCAAGAGACGGAGAAACTAAACCCTTTGTAATTTGTTTCAGTGGCTAAGTACTACTACTTGGTCTAAAGAGGAAAACAGACTTTTGAGACCTTCCTTAAAGCTACTGAAGAAGCTTAAGTCTAATGCATTTGATCACCTGCTCATTCTCAGATGAAATTCACCTTCTCCTAAAACCTCACTGACTTCATGTAAGGAGAAGTATATACAAAAGCCAACCCAGGATTAGGAGACAGAGCACTGGGCGATTTTGTGATCCCTGCTTCAATGCACATTAGTACACTGATGGTCATTTTAGGATGCTAGTGCACTACTCCAGAGCACTGTCTGTGACCCTCAAATGTACACAAACGTTTGTAGCTGTTGGGTCTTCATAATCGTAGACACTATGGCCACACCCCAGCCACCCATTCAAACTCCTTTTTCACAAAGTAAACAACAGAACCAAACTCTACCTGAAACCAGCAGCCTACCATGCTGCCCTCTCTGTACTCTGTATAACTACATGATTCTGCTACAATTCAAGACCCTTTTGTCATCTCCTTGCTGAGTGGAGAATTTAAGGTCTGAGACTACTGTCATCTGATGTCCATGACATTGATTAGCTATCCATGCTGGCCCTGCCTCACTTCTGCAAGCTGTTACAAAGTATTACTTTAATGAAAGATTGTTTTATACATGTTGCTGTCTTCCCAGTTTACATCATTCTGATTGAATGAATGTCTTATTGTGTGTGCGCCGAGAAATTCAATTCAGCA